TCAGAACATCTAATTAGAAAATGAGGAAAAATTGTCAATCACTTGTTATAATTTGCATGTGTGCGCTATTTTAATTTATTTTTAAAAAAATTGTATGCATTTCCTTCTGTTTATGTCTCTTTAATTCATTCATTTACGTAACTTACATATATATATATATATATATATATATATATATACATTTTATAAATGATTGATTTAAAAATATCAAAGTACAAAAAATGTCAAATCAAGCAAAGGCGCACTTTAAGCAAAGAGATCACAAACTACATTAATTTTATATTATACAAGTGCTTCGAATGATCACAAAACTTGCATAAAGAATTGGCTGAAAATATATTACAAACTCCTCGATTACACTAAAAGAATGTTTTCTCATAGATATGCCAAAAGAATCACACATGAAAATGTTGCAAAACATAATAATGCTATTTACATTACAATAGATTACATTACTCATGTTAGCACACAATATTTGAGCTTAATGAAAATGTTGTGTAAAGATTTCTCCTTGAATCCTTGCCATCTATGCTAAAAGACTCAGTCTTGATGATATCTTTAGATCATCTGCAGAAGATTCTGCACGATTTCGGACATTGGTGGCCTGAATTCAGGTTCCGACTGCCCAACAAAAAAGTAAAGAGGACATGAGAAAAGTATGAAAGGCGACAGCTCGAAAAACATTATGTGTATGTTTTTTAGCTATAGCAGACTCTCCCTAGACTGAGTTGATTCTAAAATTTACTTGAGCCTAAATAGCTCAAATGTGTAGAGTTTGTTTTCTTGTTGGACATGCAGCCTATGGTAAAGTAGGTTTATCCAAAACAGACATTTACCAAAACCCTGGAATTTAACTGGATTAAAGTCTCATTTTATGAAGAATAACCAGTAAAGTTTCTCACACGCTGTAACTCAAAACTGTAAGTGGGACTTTACACTTCATTAAAGAGCTATGGGAACCTGTAAAGGAAGAGACTAACCTGAATACACAAGGAAATTATGTCAGCAAACCGAGACAAAGACTTGGATGGATAACAACCATTTAGGGAAGGATCAACCATTCTTGATAATGCATCTATATCATGCAGCCGTGGAATAGCCCATCGAACCAGCAACTGCTCCCTCTAGGCCGGGACCTGGAAATCATATTTTAATGGGCTCAAAGTCAGGAGTCGTATAATTTTAGAAAAATATGTAGTTGCAACAATAACAACTAGCAAGGTGTTAAAATATATCTGTCAAAATGAAATTAACCTGTCGTAAGATTGTCTTCCTGTGAGAAGTTCTAGCATAACAACTCCAAAGCTATAAACATCACTCTGACAAGTATAGTTTCCCAATTCAAGCTCAGGAGCACCATAGCCGGATCCTTGCAACTGAAAGTTATACTGAAGTTATCAACACTTTATTCATCGATAAATGCAATATGAGATGGACAGCTTTTTGATGCAAACCAAAATTAGCGGAAATACCAGGTCTTGTCGTTTCATTTTTATCCCCTCGAAATAGAAACAAACAACCATTTCTAAACAGAATGCACCAATTTTTAGCAGCCAATTGGCACCTAGTTTTCATACTAATGAATAATGATGCAGTTTCTAGAAGTTGAGAAGGAAGTGTTTACAAGTTCAATGAAGATCACAGTCCAAAAGGATAAATTTTCCCATTACGAATTCAGAATAACTACAGTTTGCAAGTCAAATCTCCTGTTATTCTTGTTTCTAGTTTGAGGATTGAAGGGATTACCTGTCTTATGGAATCACATGACATCAGAGGTGCCAAACCACAATCTGACATATGTACAGCAAGTTCATCATCAAGGAGAACATTAGTGGACTTGAAGTTCAGGTGGACAATAGGTGGTTGACAAACTTCATGCAAGTACCTTTCAGTGAAACAGGAAGCAACTCAATCTCTAAACGGTTACAAGCTAAGGATAAAACTACAAAATTAATTGTGGTGTAGCAAACATAAAGCCCGGTAAACACGCAGAGCTGACTTTAACAGCCAATTTATAATTTATTTAACCATCACAATTCATTAAAACAAGTTAAAAGCACTTATAAACTAATATCATTTAGCTTTTTTTCGTACTTACTCTAATGCTCTTGCTGCTTGAAGTGCAATGTGTACACGTGTACTCCAGGAAAGTTGGTTCCCCCCACTTTCATTGGTTCTTCCACTTTCCATTTTCTCTTTTTATTTCTCATTCACACCTTGCTAAACCCAACAATCCCCCACATGAATGGGGAATGACTATTGTTAAAACATATGCATGAAAAACTTGTGTGTCTCATAAGTAAGGGTTAATCGCATCTGGATAAGTAGGTTTCCCTTTAAACTTTTCGTAGTGAACATATATTAGATATACTCGCTCAATCGGTAGATTTGATATCTTTGAACCGTCGAGTTTTAGTGTATACCTAGACAACATAAGTCACACAATCAACCCTTGAACTGTTTTTCGTTCTCATTGTTTTGTTCGTTTCAGCCATTAACACATCTCGGTTAATAAGTGCTTAGAGAACTGGCCTTACCGGATTCTCCTTGAAGCGGCTTACACTTCACACTTACATAGGTGGTTTCTAACTGTGTTATCCCGTAGATACACTATTTGATATACCCTGTATCAAACATAGAAACCATTAAAAAGTCCTTATGCCTTTATCCTGGTTACTGAACATTGTCTCATCATAAAAATGGACCATCAAATATGTTTTGACAATGTTGAACCGTCATCTATGACTTTGTTTGATCTCCTTGAACCTAGATCTTAGGATCTCCAGTCTTCTAGGTAGAGTTACCACCACGATGACTTGTTCTCGGCCATAGTCTCATTCCCGTCGAAGATCTCTCAACTCTCTCTCTAGTTAGGCCTTTTGTAAGTGAATCCGACACATTATCCTTTGACTTTACATAGTCAATTGTGATAATTCCACTAGAGAGTAGTTGTCTAACAGAGTTATGTCTTCGTCTTATGTGATGAGACTTCCCGTTATACATAACACTTCCAGCCCTTCCTATTGCAGCTTGACTATCGCAGTGTATGCATATAGGGGCCATTGGTTTGGGCCAAAACGGAATATCTTCTAAGAAATTTTGGAGCCATTCAGCTTCTTCACCTGCCTTGTCTAAGGCGATGAATTCTGACTCCATTGTAGAGCGAGCTATACATGTTTGTTTGGATGATTTCCAAGAAATTGCTCATCCACCAATAGTGAAAACATATTCACTCGTAGATTTCGTTTCAGTTGACCCAGTAATCCAATTTGCATCACTATATCCTTCAAGAACTGCTGGATATTTGTTGTAATGCAAAACATAGTTTTGAGTATCTTCTAAGTACCCCAAAACTCTCTTCATTGCCAACCAATGATTTTGATTGGGATTACTTGTGTATCGACTCAGTTTACTTATAGCGCAGGCTATGTCTGATCGTGTACAATTCATGACATACATCAAGCTTCCCAATACTCTGGCGTAATCCAATTGAGATTGACTTTCACCTTTATTCTTAGCAAGATTAAGGTTCACAACAATTGGGGTCTTTGCCTTTTTGAAATTCAAATACTTGAACTTTTCAAGTACCTTTTAAATATAATGAGATTGAGACAATGCTAGACCGTTAGGAGTTTTTTGAATCTTTATTCCCATATCAAATCGGCTACTCCTAGATCTTTCATATCAAACTTACTAGCAAGCATACGCTTAGTAGCTTTTATATTGGCAATGTCCTTGCTCATTATCAGCATGTCATCCACATATATGCATACAATGACTTCCTGATCCGTAGTGTCTTTAATGTAAACACATTTATCACACTCATTGATCTTAAATCCATTTGACAATATGGTTTAATCAAACTTTGCATGTCATTGTTTCGGTGCTTGTTTTAGTCCATAAAGTGACTTAACAAGTTTGCATACATTCTTTTCTTTGCTGGGAACTACGAAGCCCTCAGGCTGTTCCATGTAGATTTCTTCCTTCAGCTCTCCATTTAAGAATGCGGTTTTCACATCAATTTGATGGATTTCAAGACCGTATACTGCAGCTAGGGCAATTAACATCCGAATTGATGTAATTCTAGTCACTGGCGAGTATGTGTCAAAATAATCAAGACCTTATTTCTGTCCAAAGCCTTTGACAACAAGTCTTGCTTTATATTTGTCAATAGTTCCATCATCTTTCATCTTTTTTTGAAGATCCATTTAGAACCCAAAGGTTTGTTCCCTGGAGGAAGATCAACCAACTCCCAGGTATGATTGCTTAAGATTGATTCAATCTCACTATTGACAGCCTCCTTCCAAGAGGTTGAGTCGCTAGATAACATCGCTTCCTTGAATGTTTGAGGTTCACTTTCAAGAAGGAATGTTACAAAATCAGATCCAAATGAAGTAGTTGTCCTTTGACGTTTACTGCGCCTTGGACTCTCTTCATTGGTTTCATTCTCTTTTGGTTCTTCTCGAGGTTGTTTAGACCCTGCACTAGATGACTCAAGTCTAGTTTTATACAGATAGATATGTTCAAAAAATTCAGCATTATCTGATTCCATTGCCGTATTATCATGAATATTCGGATGTTCGGACTTATGAACCAAAAATCGACATGCCTTACTATTTGTGGCATATCCAATGAATACACAATCCACAGTCTTAGGCCCTATTTTCACCCTCTTAGGTATATGAACCTGGACTTTGGCAAGACACCCCCACACTTTGAAATATTTCAAGTTGGGTTTTCTACCTTTCCATTTCTCATATGGAATAACATGTGTCTCCGTATGAGGCACTCTATTGAGTATTCGATTTGCTGTAAGGATAGCCTCCCCCCATAAGTTTTGTGGTAAACCTGAACTTATAAGTAAGACATTTATCATTTCCTTTAAAGTTCGGTTTTTTTTCCTGCAATTTCATTAGATTGTGGAGAGTAAGGAGCAGTAGTTTGATGGATTATTCCATTTTCCAAACTTATTTCTGCAAATGGAGATTCATATTCTCCACATCTATCACTTCTGATCATTTTGATTTTTCTATCCAACTGATTTTCAACTTCAGTTTTATATTGCCTAAATGCATCTATTGCTTCATCTTTACCATTTAGCAAATAGACATAACAATATCTAGTGCAATCGTCAATAAAAGTTATGAAATACTTTTTCCCACATTGGTGTTGACTTCATGTCACAAATGTCAGTGTGAATTAGTTCTAAAGGATATGAATTCCTTGCAACAGATTTATAAGGATGCTTAGAATACTTAGATTCAACGCAAACTTGACATTTTGATTTATTGCACTCAAATTTAGGCAAAACATTTAAGTTAATCAGTTTTCGCAAGGTTTTGTTATTAACGTGTCCCAAACGTTCATGCCATAAACATTTAGACTCAAGCAAGTAAGAAGAAGCAGAATCTTTATTCATATCAACTGCAATTACATTGAGTTTAAAAAGGCCCTCAGTGAGGTAACTTTTTCCTACATACATCTCATTCTTACTTACTACAACTTTATCAGAAACAAATACACATTTGAATCCATTCTTAGTCAGAACTGGTATAGAAACTAGGTTCTTTCGCAATTCCGGAACATACGAGACCCTGTTCAAAGTCACCACCTTGCCTGATGTCATCTTTAGGAGGATCTTGCTAGTTCCTTCCACCTTTGCAACAACGGAATTTGCCATAAACAACTTCTCGTCTTTAGGTGCTGGAGTATATGATGAAAATAATTCTTTGTTGGCACAAACATGGCATGAGGCACCAGAATCTATCCACCATTCTCTTGGATTTCCAACCAAGTTGCATTCTGAAAGCATTGCACAAAGATCGTCCATCTCTCCTTTGGATTCAGCCAAATTTGCTTGATCCTTCTTCTTGTCCTTCTTGGGACCTCTACATTCAGTAGCTTTATGACCACGTTTGTCACAGTTGAAGCAACTTCCATTGAATTTCTTCTTAGGAGGATTGCTCTTTGGACCAGATGTTTTCTTTCTTTTCTTTGATTTTGTGGGATCTTCTTCAACAATATTTACTCCAGATATTGCTGAATTACCACATGACCTCTTTTCTGCGGCCTTGTTGTCCTCTTCGATTCTCAGCCTTACCATGAGATCTTCAACAGTCATCTCCTTGCGTTTACGTTTCAAGTAGTTTTTGAAGTCCTTTCACAATGGAGGTAACTTCTCAATAATTGCAACCACTTGAAAAACATCATTCACAACCAATCTTACATTAAGGATTATGTGAGTATTAAGAATACACTTAATATTTCCAACATAGGTATTAAATAAATTTATACCTTCAGCATTGATATCATGGATTATGACCTGCAATTCTTGAACTTGGGTGACGACGGTCTTACTGTCTATCATCTTATAGTCCAGAAACTTTGCCACAATAAACTTCTTCATTCCGGCATCCTCTGTTTTGTACTTCTTTTCTAAAGCATCCCAGAGTTCTTATGAGGTTTTCATATTACTGTACACATTAAACAAATCATCTTGCAGGCCACTCAGAATATAATTTTTACATAAAAAATCAGAATGTGTCCATGCTTCTGTTACCAAGAATCGTTCTTCAGGCGGAGTTTCATCTGACATAACAGGAACATTCTCATTAATGAACCTCTGCAGACTCAACGTAGTCAGATAGAAGAACATCTTTTGCTGTCATCTCTTGAAATCGACACCAGAAAACTTTGCAGGTTTCTCAGCCGGTGCTAGGGCAGCATTTGAACGATTGTGTGCAACCGATGTTGTTGCAGCACTTACTGTTCCAGCATTTACTTGACTTGATTTTCTGTCACAAATGACAGACAATTTAGTATGTGAAATACTACCAGTAAAGACTAAATACTTACACAAACTGTTTCGGATTTAACGATAAAGTTTTTATGTTCTTTTAATCGTTAATCGAATGAATTTTAAAATTCAAACATAGTAGATAACCATAAAGGTTTTAATCTCCAGAAACCTCAAATACAGAAACTATTAAATTTCTTAATATTGTTATCTCTTGAATTCAGGTTAGTCAAAAAATACAAAAATAGAAAAAAGATGAAATTGACAGAATGATTTTTAATCCGAGTCTATAGAAACCACTGTGTTTCCTTAAGAAATTTAATCCCCTCACTGTACCCGAGGTTGCAGATTAATTCCTCCCAAGATAAAATGGATTAACCTGTTAAAGAAGTAGCGGTACCTCAAACTTCAATAACTTCAGCGAACGCAAGAACAGCAACAAGAGCACACACAGACTCAGTCGATCGACAATTTTATTTATGTAAGAAAATGTATGCACAGAGGAAAAATTTCAGTGTTTGAAAAAATGAAAAAGATTTCTTATTTATAGCCATTTGCAGCAAGGACCGCGTCTGTTCAGAAAATCTGTTCAGACCCATTTTTTCCAGAACATTGTGTCCTTTGGGAAAAGTAACGACTTTTCGGAAGGATTACCGTTTGGGAAAAGTAACGACTTTTTGGAAGGATTACCGTTACACGTGAATTTCAAATAAATTCAGTTGCGCCAAATTAATTCTGTTATTTAATTAACATTCTGAATTAATTTATAAGAGAAAGGAAATGATTTAACAAGATTGATTAAATAAATTTTTGTCCAAAAATATTATCAATCAATCACATCATTTGCCGAATCCGAATCTGAATCCGAGGCAGAGCGAGCGACGACGACGGCGCGAGGGGGCACCTTCTTATTAACCCTTTAAGAACTAAAGGAAGTGTTTCCTAATATAAGGACAACAATTTCCTTTCATTTACCGATATGGTAAAAATGACCTTTCATTTGCACTTTTGCAATGATGACTTTTCATTTTTCCTCCAAAATTGGTTTCCCCACTTTCATTGGTTCTTTCACTTTCCATTTTCTCTTTTTATTTCTCATTCACATCTTGCTAAACCCAAAAAATACTGGGATCTCTTAGGTATAACATGCCTAAAGCATGTGATGAATCATCTGAATACCAGATAAGTTATAGAATGAAGACACTGATTCTTGCTTCAGATGCTTTTAAAGGGATGAGTGAGTTGATGTTCATTCCGTAGTTGTTTATATACAACAAAAAGATAAGGTAATTACAAGATTGTCAAAGTTATTATGCCTAATTCAGTGTATGAGCATAAAAAAGTGTCAAAAACTTCACAACTATTTACAATATATTCAAAATTCATCGTAACATTCTTATATTGTGCAATTAATAGCGAAAGGTAATGGAGAGAACTAACCATAAAAACTTTCTTACTATACAGGAGAATATCAAAAAACAAATTTGTGAGATCACATAATTTTTTGAGTTATGTTTTAGTGTGTGAGATTAATGTTGTAATTTTGCTTTCTTTAAGTCGAAGGCCTATCAGAAACAAACTTACTATCTAATAATTTAGAGGTATTGTCTATGTTGATTAAACATGTGCAAGGTTTAAATCAGTAGATTTAGCTTGCTAAATGTACATGTAAGCTCTATTGATCACGTTCAAGATCGCGATAAGCCAAAAGAATAGCTCTTTCTTTACCTGCACGTCGACGTATAATTTGTGTACAATTTTGATTGCAGGTGACTAAAAAGAATTAAAACTTACATTTTGAACCTTTGAAGATACCAATATGAGTGATGTACTCAACTTGAACCAGTAGCCTGCATAGGGTATTTTCCCACCACTTTATTTGAGCTTTCAATGTAATTTTGTCCTCAATATACTAATGTTGTTGGAATTTTTTCAATTTTTATGTTTGTGAAGTTGATTAATTATTTAACAAGAAACACGTATTTTCTACCGTTAGATAGCTCCTACTACATTTAAATGGTATTAGTTCATACAAGAGGAATTGTATAGTATCTTGTCAGTCCATTTTCGTGTACAAATATAATATAAATGTAAATATTGCATGAAATTGTTCTTTTTTTTTCTTTCTGGATCATCAAAAGTCATTGTCAACTGTTTACTTATTCCACATATATGCAAATCTATGCATTCGGCCAATCATAACAGAGTTCTGATAAGTGATTGTGGCCCAAACTTAAATGACAATAGGCCATCAACCAAGTCAATCACATTTGAGGGTAAGGACAGAGCCAGGGTACCGATGGGGTTTCATAGTCAAAAACATACCCTATATGTAAGGCCAAAATTATTTCGTATGTATATATAGTAGAGTTGAAACTCCTTATTTTTGTTATGTGTGTTTATCTCTTTATATTCTGAATTCCCTTAATAAAAATCTTAGCTCCATTTGAGGGTTGAAGGGAATTGGAGTAAAACAAACAAACTCAATTCTAGATTGAAAGAGCTTTAATCATTATAGACCTAACAATTGTCTATTTCTTCCTAAAAGAGTCTCAATGTCATAGACATTAATACAGAGAAGAAGTGACACATAGAGAATGGAGAGCTAGAGTAAAGAGTAATTGGATCCAAACAACAATGTTAAATAATCTTTAACAAATCGGTACATGCATACCTATTGATAAAAAATTAGCTCAATTCCAGAAAGTGTCAACTCGAACCCGTTAGTAATTTGTTATTTTCTTATATAAACCTTCACATCACCCATGAATTTCAGCCATAAATTGGGAAAGAGAATGAGATAGAATAATAAAGACATCAGCACATAATTGAGTCGTAAAATTCAAGTCTATAAAAAAAAAACTGAAAGAATTTTGTAGCAAAAATTTGAAGAAAGTATACCTGGAATTATGAAGAATCCATATGTTTTGTTGTTATTATTTTGTAGCAAAATTTGGAAGATAATATACCAGGATTTTTGAAGAATCCATATGCTTCACTTTTGTGGAGATGGAAGAACCGACGAATGAAGATTTATGGTTTATAGTGGGTTAAATACCTTGCATTGGATGATTCTAGATTGGTGGAGAGAGATCAGTTGTTTGCGAAAATTACCATTTTAGCCTTGGTCGTCCCACCTTTCACGTTTCTATATAGTAGAAATTAAAGAATAAAGATAGGTGAGGTGATCTTTTATTAACACAAAATTTTAAGTGATAAAGTAATTAGACAAGTTAAACTTATTTATTAGTATTAAATAAAAGGGAATAAATATGTAAGGATAATTTTCAAACAATAAATATTAAAGCAAGACAACAATTGATCAAGAAAAGATAAACAAGGAGAGTGACTTGACATTAAAAGATATGAAAACATCATAAATGTCGAATATGAACTTATCTACCCCAAAATAACAATAAAATTAAATTATAAGAGTTGAATTGTAATTATTTAAATACTTAAGGTTTAAATCAATCCGTAAGAGAATTTAAGTACTTAGGAATGATACCAACGATATTATTAATCGCGCTTCTTCATCATAGAAACATTTTTATTTGAGGCTGGTTTTAGAAAATAATGATAGTATTCAAAAGATAATTGAAAGATTTAAATATAAACACCTAAATATATTTGTGTATAAGTACACATAGTCCCTTTTTTGAAAAATCTTTGATAAGTGATACTTTCGGGACGCATCGATTTAGTTAAAATGAAATTAGACCTCATAATTCATTTTACTTTCCCATTAACCATAGGTTAGGAGATAGTACTTATATAAAAAGTGTCATGTCTTATTCAAATTATGAAGAAAAATAAAATTGAACAATGACTTTGATAAAAGTTAACAATTGAACTTCAGTTTAAATACTTGCACAAAAATAAATAAAAAGAAAATAATAAAGCGAGACATAAAAAAAAAAAAAAAACACGTAGCATATAATTCCTCACCCCCTAAATGATAGCAGCCCCGAATTCATTCTTATTACTACGAGAACGTGCATACAACTTTTTACAAATTGCATAAATAATTTGAAAGAAAAAACAAGATTTAACAATAAAACATCCAGATCTTGGCGAACTCTTCTCGTTTTGGACTCATATTCAGACTTGTGTTGAAACACAAAGAAAACACACAAATACTATCCAAAAATACGAGATATATAACCATCATATTCATAGGCAGACAAAGAAGACGGTTACCAATTATATTATATGGATAAAGAACTAACCCGGATGCCTTCTTTTAATAGAATATCAAAAAAAAAAAAAAAAATCGAAACAGAGGAGAGAGGGACAATGGGCGATGGGAAGGAGAGAGGAGCCGCCGGCTGGTGCTTCTCGCTAGGACGGGGAGAGAGTGGCGGAGGCGAGAGTGAGGGTGGAGAGATGGCGGTTAAGGTTTATTTGATTGGATTTGAATTTTTATTTTGGCATAATACATAAGTGTGTCGATCGATAACTATGACTTTTAATTGAAATATAATATGTTATTTAATTTATCCTTGTTATTAACTATAATCATTTTGCAAAATTAATTTGTTATATTAAAAAATGGTACAATGAAATAATTATTTTATTTATGTAAATCTCACTAAGCTCTTCCAATAAAACAACTAGTATGTTTTACGCTGAAGGATAAACTAGGGGCAATGTAGAGAATTCTACTCAAATAAGGATGAGCTTTTTCTCTTTAGTAGAAAAGAATGAGCTTTACATTACAGACTTTGGAATAAGGATGACTCCGCCGCACTTACGAGTTCTATATTACAAAAAAAGAAGAAAATTGTACAAAATTTATGCTAATGTTTGTTCTTATAGGTGAGCTGTTGTTTTCTTGATATCGTCGATATGCTTCTTTTTACAGTTGTTAGTACTACAGATGTTTTGCAATTAGTAGTCCAAGCATCACAACATCCTTTGACAATTAAATTGCCAAGTATTTTGATGAGACTAGCTCTTCGGTAAACCAATGATGCTCAAAATTTACCACTTTGAAGAACCTGAAATATCTTGTCTAATATCATCAGAATTCGAAGCTGAGCACCAAATTTCGAAAAACCAAACACCTAGAGAGAGAATCTAAATATTTGCACTAATTCGATTGACAAATGAGCAAGTCAAACCATTCAATTGACTTCATTTGTTAAGGACACATAATTATCTTGTTTCAGCAAAAGCAAAATTCCAATTCCAATCAGTGTTTGGCGCAATTCCATCTATTAGTTGTATGTGGCACAATTACTAAGCCTATTTCAAAAACTTTAATAACCACGGAAATCAACAGCAGCTATATCAATACACGATAATTGGATGCAAATTTAAAGTATGAAATGTTCCCCTTATCATCTCTCATAAAACAAAATTTGTTCCATTCATAGTTTCAAACAACCCGGCCAAACAAAAACAACTTAAGTCTGTAATTTTGAAAATGGGACTTGACCAAGAAACTTGTAATCCCAATCCATGATCTATCTCTAAGCCACAAGAGTACTCGCGGTGGTAGACTCGCTGCAAGGCAAAAATTGACCTTAGTACTGCAATTCACTAGATTGTATAGAATTAAACAGAAAAAAGAGGAAGAGGAGTGAATGAAGTAAAAAAGCACTATAGTGGGGGCACACAAGAGAAGCATAATTTAACTGACATAACTCGAGAGCAACTATAAACACAAACTGCAATTACAATTTCAAAAAGGTGTCCTCCACACTAGTGAAAAGTAAAAATAAATACTGTGATGTTGAATTCATGTTGCACATAACACCAATGAAGGAGCCAAAGGGGAAGCATAAAGTGGTTTCCAATGGAACAATACAAGTCCCCAAAATAGACTTAATCCACCAGTTCAATTCATAGACCTACATAGCTCATTTGGTGGAACAATGGAAAGTTTCCAGCTAGTAATGTTCCCTAAGACAGTTATTTAACATGCCTGGGTGTAAACAAGTTATTTCAGAACAAAATTTTAACTTGCACACGTGAACTTGGAACACATGCTAAACAAAAATGAAATGTGTTCTAGATGATTAAACCAGAAACAGTTCACCACAAAGTAAAATAGGCAAGAAGAGTTAATAAAACATGCAAAACAAAAATGAAATGTGTGCTAGATGATTAAATCAGAAGCAGTTCACCACCAAGAAAAATATGTAAGAATGAACTTACTACTTCCAGACTGGTGGAAGCTTCTTTGTTTTCTTATAGTAGCGAGCAAGTCGATGAATCCTGCTCTCAACAAGAATCAATCTAAACTTGGAGTCCTTGTCTTTCCTGTTCCTCTCAAGATGCTTCCTGATTGCCACTGCTTTCTTGATAAGGTGGTAGAGATCCTCGGGAATCTCGGGAGCAAGTCCTAATTGGAAACACCAATAGGTTAAACAAGCGTTCTTTTAAAAAAGTAATGTCAAACGAGTAACTTAAATACACAAAAAGACAAAAAAGTACCATGAGCCTTCAAAATTCTGAGAATCTTGCTACCAGTGACACTCTTCACCTGAGCAATCCCATGAGAATCACGAAGAATAACACCAATTTGAGAAGGTGTCAAACCTTTTTTGGCAAACTTGCAGATGTTATCCTCAACCTGGAGCAAAGGATAGTACTGTCACTATAGAAAAACCGAATGACTGGATTACATTTCAATGGAGCATAACAGCATCAGTTAGGTAACTCCAACAACCCATCTTATAAAAAGCCAAGTGACATTTACTGTGCCGCATAAAAGAGGCATCGTTAGGAAACACAATCCCCAAAACAAGGTACAGCCACATTGTCTTTCATTAAGAGCATACATCACACTATGCATACTTGGCAAAATTTAAAAACTAGAGCTTGAAAAAGGAAAGGCAAATGTAGTTACATTCCAAAGTGCACAATGTATGTACAGTTACACATTGAGGTCAAATCTTATAACGAAAACATCACAGCAGAAGAAACTGGATATTCAAAATTCTTGAAACATATATTAATCAATCAATCAACTATCAGCAATGTGAATATTTGCTCTATTAGGGTATTCTATCTTTGTGGTGGCGATCAATAATGGAAAATTAGGATTCAAACAAGGCATCGCTACAAATATCTACATTTTTCTTATTTTTTAATTAACTATACATACGATAGAAACAGGAGAAATAAAGCTAATAAGCAAGTAATTCCTTACATCAGGAGCAGAGATTTTCAGCCAACTTGGTGGAGTCCTCTTGTATGGAAGAGCTGAAGCTGAAATACCCTTCCTGAGCAACAAAAAAAAGGATTAAAAATTATCAGTATAAATGTAGAATGAACAAAATAAAGATAAAGAAGAAGAAAGAGTAGACGAACCCTCGACTGTGCATACGACCCATGGTGGCTGTTTGGCGGTGTGACGGTGGCTGCCGCGCTCCGGTTGGCTATAAGTAGCAGCGAAATCTCGAAAATGACAAACTGAAGGGGGTTAGGGTTTTCCCTATATATAGCTTCTTTATTTGCACTGAGGTCCTTTGGTCTTTAGGATGATTTACATATTACACCCCTTATGTTAAGTGATTTTCAAGAACCCAAAAAAAAGAAAAAAGAAAAAACTCATCTCAACCTTTTTTACATTACACTTTTGAATATATATATATATATATATAACTATAAGGATATGTCTATAAGATTTACCTATTGTTAACTAGAAGTTTGAAATTAATATTTGAAAAGAACTAGGTCTTAATCATATTGATTTTAAAATTTGTATATTTTGCGTAATTTAGTTGAGTACATTTTAACAAGATATTTATTTATAAGTTGTTTTTGCTCCGCTTAAATTTGTTCCTCTCAAAGATTTATTTTAATGATAAATTTTATAGAAATCGAATGATCTTATTTGATAAAGTACCCAATAAATTATAAGTCTCTCCCTGTATTTCTTTCATTACAATATTTAAAACGAATTTCTGCATAACAAATTTAATTTCTTTAGTTTTATGATATAGATATTGATGATAGTTACATTAATAATGACAGTACCAACACTAGTAATAATTTTGAATTAATTGGCTAATTGTGATGATACTTGATTTTTAAGTTAAAATGTTAGTCAGAAACCTTTAATAACTTATAACGAAAGGCCAATTCAAACAGGCTCTTGGTGGCAAAATCTGTTGGGCCAGTGAAGCCAGCCCAGTACAGTGAAGTAGGGTTGGGCTAAACCTTGTTGGGCCCTTCAAAAGTGAGGCTATATTAAGCCCACTCATTTGGCCCACCAACCTTCATGATTGAGTCATTGTTGCATCAATAATTTTGAATTGTTATGTTGTAGGGTATCCTGACATTTTTTAAAAATCTTTCATACCCCAAAAAATAGTATTTTATTTTGTACCTATTCTAATTTGTCATCAACTAAGATATTTTTATTAGGAAAAATATCAAATTTGCCCTTTAGCATCATTCAAAAACAAACAATTTTGTACTTCGTTATTTTTCTTTTCTTATTCGATTAAAAAAAAATCACTTTTCATCTTCGATCTATAGTAACGTTCATTTTAAGAGTAACTATGTACAAATTTTTTTCTATAGAGAATTTGGACTTGTGGGGTTCGCCATTAGTTAATTACTTATCTTATTTTTTCTTTAAAGATTTCTATTCTTTTCCATAAATATAAAATTACAAAGGCAAATATATATGGGAGTTATTGAATTTATGAATGAACCAAAAAATGTAAGTTGAGTACAAAATTAACCAATTTTGAACAATACATGAAAAAATTTAAATATTTTTCCTTTAATACTACTATTGGAGTATTATTTTGTCCAACAACCAAAACAAAACAAAAAACTAGAGATGCCATACAAATTTCTTTAGGCACCCAAAAAAGGTATCATAATTTTTCCCAACTGTGAATCCACATAAGAGGACTGCTGGTGTCACTTCTCCCTGACAAAAAAAGTAAAAATAGAGTTAATGGAAATTGCTGTACAATAGCCATTATTGTGTTTCTTCTAGGTCATAGGTCACATCTTTATTTCATTCGAATTTATAATTTTATATATAGTTCATTTTATTTTTAATGTTATAAGAATAAGCTCAATTTTTCATTAACTTATCCATTTTAATCAAAATGACTTGTCAATTTGTTCGTGTATTATGCATTTTATTATTAAAATAGAATATTAAGTGCATAAGTTAGTGGGTGTAAATTGTGGTAGAAGATGACTATTGATTCTTGTAATTTATATGGCCATTAGTTCTTGTAACTCTCATGATCATTAGTTTCTTGTAACTCATATGACCATTAGTTTCTTGTAACTCATGTAACATCTATCACATTTATCTACCCACATTACTACCCTCATTCTACCTATTGATTATATGGAAGACTTTTTCACCTATAAATAATGGTGTTTCTTCCTTTGTGAAGTATCTCAAGAAAGATGAGAAGTGTGAAATAATATTTTTAGTGTGTAATAGTGAAAGAGAGAGTTGAGACAAAGAAAATATTCTAAGTCTTCAACTATATTCACTATATATAAAAAGAGAGTATTTATATATGTTGAAGGAATGTGTTCTTTTCGTGGAGCTTTGTACTCTTCAATTAATCCGGAGTTGTTTGAGTTGTACACGTTGTTGGGCTGTTGTATCCTGGAGGGAACAAGTCAAGAGTGATATTGTTGGATCGGTGTAGATTATGCCGCAGTAGTCTTGAATCTCCTTAAAGAGAACGAGATATCCGTGCCTCAGCCTAAAGATTATTTATTCATTTTTTGTCATTTTATTTTCAACTGTAATTTGTTGTATTTGTGGTATATTACACCAACACAATTCAATATATCGAACTTCTTGCTTTCATTAGTCACCAACATCTTTACCATATATATCGCATAAGTGTATAACTTATCGTTTCACCATATAATGGATTGTGTTAGAGGGTGAGGTGAAAGCATAATAAAAACTTGTCCACACTTGAAGTTGTACATTTAATGAATATATGATACATATCTTTACGTATACTATTACTAATTAGTAATAATACACTCTAAATCTTAATTTCTCATCTAACCAATAATATAAATTATTACAATATGATGTAAATAATAAGTGCAAATTATTTTTTACAAAGGAGGAGTGGTTGGTTAGGCCATCTCATAAATGTGAAATAGTTGGTGGGTAGTACATTGATTATAGAACCAAAAGGTTATAATTTCATTATATAATTTGAAATAATGAAACATACTATATAGAATTCACAAGTTCAAATGTGGAATAATGGATATAGCATTCACAAGCTGTGTTTTATGTGGTTGGTAAGGGCAATACACCAGCAGCACCTTTTTCACTTTTTACTATCAACTTATATGTGAAAGCCAAACCAAAAAGACAATCACTACTCCTCCACTTTCACAAAAAGTAGCTTGGAAGTTCACTCTTTTGTTGAATTAGTGATACATCACTCTCATTTTGCTTTTTATTGTTTACCTTCAAATTACATTGCTAGTGTTTCCAATTCTATACAAAGTATAATTTCTTTGACATGTGCTTGTAACAAAAGTAGCATGGTGCAACATAACAGATTGTCTTAAAACTTTAGGTCCTCCTTATTTATTCGTTTTTGAGTTTTTGTAACATGTTTGATTTTCCAGATATGTGTTTGTTTAAACTTTAGGTCCTTTCTACTGAGTTTTTCAAATATAAATGTTCTTCGCTCGCAACAATTCAAATCTTAATTGGTGATGTAGTCATGAGATCCTTTTATTTTTAATTAAAGATTTTGAAATTAAGCTTTGTGATCGAACAATTCACCTTAAAGAGTATTTTCACTTTAGTGACTCTTATAGTGATTGAATTATAATGAATATTAAATATGAGCCAAAGAGTTTTGAATTCCATTAGACTATTGATTATGGGTGATAATGAAGGAAAATAGTATTTTGATCCTTAAAGTTATTCATACATTTTACTTTTGATCCTTATAAACTCAAAAATATACTTCCATCCCTTTATGTAGAAAGTATGTTATAGCTAACTATTTACTATAAAATTATATTACCATCAATATACGATACTAATACAAATTTAGTATAATACACATCTAGTTAAAATTCGTCTGGTTATAAATATTGCGAGTACTTTTTAAATTCTGTTTTGGAAAAAAAAAATTGGCCATAGAACTCTTTTTTTTTTTGGGCAAAATATCCAAAATTTCAAAATCTACAAAAACTTATTTTTGGGACGAAATATTGATGTTGAGTCCTTAAAATTTTTAAAACCTACCACAATTTTTTATATTAAAAAAAAGGTCATTTATGTATGACTCCAATTTATTCTATCTATACTATCATTTTCCATTCATGAAATTGATATCTACTCCGATACAATTGTAACTAACCTATTGCAATTTATCTTGGAAAACATATTGATTTAGCCAACAAATATTGTTCACCCACAGTGTCTTACTTGCTTAACCTCAATTATTACGAGATATTCGTCATATGACTGGAAAAACCAAGTTTAATGGTATAACGATTTATAAAAAAAAAGTTGAGCTAACCATTATTTTCATCAGTTACACTGTACTCTAATGCGTGAAATGTTGAAACTAGTTATGTCAATTATATTTTCTTGTGGGTAGATGTGACTATAATTTGTGTAATGACTTGAATAATGTATTATTTATAATTCTATATAAACACGATAATTTTGTACCAAATTTATGAATATTTTTTATAGTGTTTGGATTTTATGGATATAAATAATATTGCATGTTTTATTTTATATATGTTTTCAATTCTATACCTTTTTTCTTGGTAATAATTCCATAGCTTACTGCCACGTCCCGCCACATCACAGTTAAATTTGGCGTCCGGATAGGGGCGGAAGGGCCTAGAGTTGTGGAGAGGTTTCCGGAAGACTCTAGAACCCTCTAGATTATTCAAGAAGGCTAGAGAATTCCCTAGAATTCTCTAGAATGACTTAGAAGGCAATGGAAGGTCCTAGAGTGTGTAGAAAGTTCTAGAGCTAGGACCAAAGTGTAAATAAGTTTAGGGACTTAGAAAGTAATTTAAAATTGTACTTTAGTCCCTAGGAGTTAGTATAAATAGGAGGTGCCCCTCATTTGCAAGGCACCATCCAACCAACCAAGACTCCAAGCAAGCAAGCAAGCAAGTTGTAAAGCATTCTCCAAGCAATATAAGCCTTCTTCCAAAATTCTCTAAGTCTTCCTTTTCATTCTCTTAGCGATCTTAGTCGTAAAGGCTTACTTGAGCTTACAAGATCGTGAAAGATTCGTGAGTAAGTTGTCAAGTGCCGCGCGGAGCTTTAGTAAGACTCTAAGTCCGTGACAAAGTGGTATCAGAGCGAAGGTTTGCACTAAGGGAATGGCAACCGAAGGGGACGTAAACGCCGCTAGCACCACCAACGTCCGTCCGGATGGTGGAAAAAAGGCCCGAAAGGGAAAGAAGCACCAAAAGAGTCATGAGGAAATGCTGCTGGATC